GGGAAAAAGTTTTGCAGGGGCTCTACCCACGCCTGTTGTTCTGAGTTGTCAGCCCTGCTTTAGTGGAACTTGTATCCCATGAATTTGAAATGAGCACTTTTACTCTTTAAAGACCACATTGTTTTTATTAAAAGCTAATTATGTCATATAAAGCGATGCAGAATGGCATAAACCTCTGGAAATTAAAAGGTCTTAGGAAGAACTTTTCCCTTGTTTGAGACTCTACCCACGCCTGTTGTTCTGAGTTGTCAGCCCTGCTTTAGTGGAACTTGTATCCCATGAATTTGAAATGAGCACTTTTACTCTTTAAAGACCACATTGTTTTTATTAAAAGCTAATTATGTCATATAAAGCGATGCAGAATGGCATAAACCTCTGGAAATTAAAAGGTCTTAGGAAGAACTTTTCCCTTGTTTGAGATCTCACAGCCCTTTTTCATTGAAAATGCTTGCTTTTCAGTACATGGCATGGTCTGGAAGGAATAGCACTGGGTCAGGGTTTAGGTACTTCCAGCCGATAACTGTGGTACTTCCTGCCACGAACCTGCTGTGGAGCTTTGGGCAGGTCGCTTCGCCAAGTCCACACTTACTTTTCTTTCATATTTGCACTTACAGATTTCACAGTTAAACATATATTAATTCAGGTAATTTATTATGTATTAACGCTTAAAGCTTCTTTAACATAAATACATGTTACCCTTCGACCTTGCTCCAGTTTTCACACGGTTCTGTTTATCCAAAGGTCCATTGTACGTTATAGTAGAATACGCTTCCAAAGGAAACCTGCGCGAGTACCTGCGAGCACGCCGCCCCCCGGGGATGGAGTATTCATTTGATATTAACAGGGTGCCTGAAGAGCAGATGACATTCAAGGACCTGGTGTCATGCACATACCAGTTGGCAAGAGGCATGGAGTACCTGGCTTCTCAAAAAGTAGGTAGAACTCAGCAAATAGTGCACAAAGAGCATGGTGCGTATGTGTTCGGCACCTGGTTCGTTTTTTTCTCATTGCGTTTATGCTCAAGAATTTGCTGGGAGATGAACCTTTCTCAGACAAGTTGCGTGATCCAAACTCTAAGATCAGTGGGAAAATTCTTACCCTTGAAGTTGTTAATCTCTGTTTAACGATATTGCTAAAACGAGGCCCAGAATGGGTCATTTAAAGTAAATACTGCGTACATATCTGCACTTTGAATTCATAAGCACAGGTGGTCACTTGATTATACGCGTCACATTACTCCACCCAAGAGACAGCAGGCACCATTTGCCTCCTGTTTCCAGTCAAACTGACCAAATCAACTCGCGCAGCGATGTAGAATAGATGAATTCAGTTAGCGAAAGGATTTACAGAATGGAAGGAGGCAGAGTTGAGAAGACCACAAGTTGCCAGGACAGCAAAAGTTGCCAGTTAAGCAAAAAAGGCAAAAATAAGTGGAGTGTGTTAGTCACTCTAAATTATGCTCTTTACTTAAAACTGGTGTTCCAGGACAGAAATGTGAAGCAAAAAAGGCAAAAATAAGTGGAGTGTGTTAGTCACTCTAAATTATGCTCTTTACTTAAAACTGGTGTTTGTCAGGAAGGCAAGCTTGTTAAAAGAATTTATTTATCCTGTCATGTCCCTGGACACTTATTTCTTCAAACATTTTTTTAAAAGCAGTAATTTGATTAAATTATAGTTATGAAACCTTAAATAGCCCCGGATAACTCTGTAAACATACTGTGGCTTGGTGGAGAGGCAGTCATGAATACCCTGGGTGGTGTTGGGATCCAGTGTCTAAACCAGAGCACCAGATACTGATGATAAGCACTTCCTGCAAGGTGTGGAGTGGCTAGCGGGGTTCATACCGATTTCCAGCCGTCACCCCTCCCAAGTATTGCCGCTGATTTTAACCAAAGACCAGAGCTGAGTGTAAACCTCCAGTCCCGTTGTGTGGAGTCGTGATTTATTTATTGCCTTTCTGCACTTGTAGAGGTGAGGGGGAGGGGAAACTGAAGTCTAATTTTGCTTTTATTCTTTTGTTTTGAAACTAATTTTTAGCCTGGTAGAGTAGACAGGGTGACACGCATGACACCGAGACAAAATCTTCTAATGGAGTAAGCCTGAGTATTGTATAGGGTGAAGCACCTTAGGATATCTCTTTCTAAGATTAATGAAACGTTTGCCTGGCAAGGAGCCATGTCCCAAGAAAATAGAACTGTTGTGAAAGGAAAAAGTAAGTCTTTTGATTGGCGAATCTTGAGAACAAGCGTCTGCTTGAGAAGCTCTGAAGTGCTGTGGGAGGACGCTGCCAAGGGGGTGTGCGCTCGCACAGATGCACACGGCAGAACCGTTTCATCCTCGGCCCAGTTCCTTTGCAAAACCACTCGATCAGCGCTGTGCCCAACGTGACGGGACGTGAGGCGTTGCACAAGGCAGGGGGAGGAGGGAAAACAAAGGCAGGACGTAGTAAAACCGCGCGATCCGGTTCTTCAGATATCCCACCATTTCTGTTTGTGTTTCACTAGTTCTTCTTCCCTTAGGGATCCATTTGTTGAGCTGGAATAATAAGAGACCTGGTCTTCTCACAGTATTTCAATCGTGCAGGAACTGTGAGAAGGCCGGTGTTCTTGTTATTTCAACACAGTAAATGGCTCACTGAGACCTCAAAAAAGAAAAATAATAATAATAATTTAAAAAAATAAAGATTTCAGGCACCTACTTTTTGCCTTACAAGAAGTTTTTGCCTTGCAAGCAATCGTACATTGGAAATGGGATGTTGTTTCTAAGTTGGGTGGATGCTTTCCAACATTCTGTTGATGTGCCCCCTCCATCGTTCCAGTACTGCGCAAGAAGACGGGAGCTGTAACATACAGATACAGGGGTTGGCGCAGGTCATTGCAGAGAGACAGCAAACCACTAGGGCCAGAGGGACGGCTGTGAAACCTGTCAGACACAGAAGTCAGTAATGGCACCGTTTTGATAGGAAGAGTCTCAGTAGCAGAACTGTGGGGTATGGGAAAGCAGACGTGTACTGACAGAAGATTCCAGGGTTTGAATCATTTGATGTATTCACACAGAGGTGTTCCCTGGCATTTGAGATGCTCTGTGGTACCCCCAGCCTGCTGCTCTGGAAAGGCAAGGGTCTGCTGTATATCCTGTGTCGTCGCAGCTAATCTCAAGACACTATGGATATCGCATGGCATCTCGGATGACAGGATGTGCTTCTATATGGGCAACCAAACTGAGTTCCTGGTGTCCCAGAGGATGTTCTTGTAGGGCTTTAGAACAGGGACAGTGAGGTAGGAAGGCTGATCTACATTGTCTCTGCTACCGTAGCATTGCTGGCGTTGAATTAGAAGGCTGGTTTGATGTTGAAAGCAGGTCCTGTTGTCTGGTCCTGAGCACATGAAGGCGTTGCTGGAGCAGGCTTTTCCTGGCAGTTCCCCATGGCTACCCCAGTGAGGAGCAGAAGCTTTGTATGCTCGCTTCACCCGTGCAGGAGAAGAGATCTCAGAAAATTGCTGGGGCAAGTTATAATGCAAGAAAGAAATTGGCTGTTGTGCAGTTTTTTTGTAGTGGTTCAGTCCGGCATGTCTGTGCACATGCTGAAATAAAGAGGACAACATAAAGAGTAATCCAAAATTAAGGAGGGAAAAAAAGTGATATTTAACTTGGAGTCGAATATCCTGGGGAGACTCCAAATGCAATGTTACTTACCATGCCCCTGCTGCCACCTTTTATTAACCCCACCGACCTCTCAAGCTTAAGCACAGGAATAATATCCAGAGCAGTGACAGCGTCCTTTCAGTGTCAAGAATCAGTTGCAAGCGTTCGGGATAATGCTGGCACAAAGGAAAAAACTCTGAGATAACATGTTTAGTTTCAGTGTCAAAGCTGTTACAAAAGCAAACAGCCGAGCCCAGGGTGTTTTGGGTTTTTTTTTTCCTGTTCTTTTCATAATTAAATTGTTAGAGTCTCATGGTAAATGCACACACCCTCGACATCTACTTTAAAATTATATACTGTGGCTATATCTCATGTTAAGATCTTTTATATTAAAAACAGTTGCCCTGATCCAGACTGTCAGGTTTTAGCTCTGGTGAGATAATTTAAGAGGAGCAACGTAATGAAACGCCCATTAACAGTGTTTGCAATGAAGGTGCTGCAATACCTGGACCTGGGCACGTGTAACCGAGTGAGTCACAAACAGAGTGGCAGAGTTTGGGTCACCACTCGAGATTTCAGCCTTAAGAAAGTGTAAGTCTGAATAAACCAGGCTTTTCTGGGAGGGTTTTTAGGGCCACTGTTCAGCCTGGAAACGCCAGCTGAGGGGATGGGTTGCAATTATGAGGACAATCATGTTTCACAGGCTTGTAGTAAACATGTGGCTTTCCCACCTTGTGATTTAGGTTAAAATCTGTAAAGGAGACAATTATGGTGTAGAAGGAACTTCACTTTAACAAGTTTATTTCAGTGGGTCTGTCTTTTTTTTTTATTTCCAGTGTATCCATCGAGACTTGGCTGCAAGAAATGTTTTGGTAACTGAAAATAACGTCATGAAAATAGCAGACTTTGGTTTAGCCAGAGACATCAACAATATAGATTATTATAAAAAGACTACTAATGTAAGTGGATGGTTTTCTTATCTCTGGAAACAAGTGTTTCCTTCAGTGATTCACTTCAAAACTATGGTTACAAACTTGATGGGTTTCTTGTCCAGCAGCCTCACTTTTCATCACAGGCAGAAAGCAGGGATCAAGGACATACGCATTTCTGTCCCCTCTTATCGTGACAATTAGCTAGAAAGATAACCACAGAGGCTGTATATTGTATGATTTATTAGAAGTGCTAAAATACAAGAATGTTTCTTTTGTGTCCCTGACTCCAATCACTTGAAATAAGTGGAAATAATCATGTTGATTCCAGTTCCTTTGCTGTCAAACCTAGGATGTTGAAAACCACTGTATAAACAGGGCTAGCAATAACCAGAATAAAAATCGTCTTTATGTGGTACTACCACATACAGCTTTATGCCTTTTGCATGTGCTTACGCACAAGTTATGGTGGTGCTATCAGAGCAGGGCTGGAGGTTGAGAAGATGGATTTTTTACTCCCCACTCTGTCACTGTTTTGCGGTTTAACCTATACCAAATCAAGAAGATCAACTCAAGACTGGTTATTGATACCTTGTTTGAAAGCTTACACCTCCTTCTGAGGGGATCTGTTAAGATCCTGATGATCTACACTTGGGTTTTGATGGGAACGTTGCAGAACTCATTTAGTTCTACAGGCTTTAGGATTTTACGAATGTTAGTTGTTATTAACTAATGTTAATTGGCTTATCTGTGAAAATAAAGCACTAAGCGATTAATGGCATTCTAATGGTAATATCTGCCTACTTCCAAAAGGGTACGTTGGTTCTTGGGGTGAATTGAACCTTCGTTACATCAAAATCAGTGCTATTGCTGGGCTCTGAGCAGAGCAGACTGTGGGCAAAGCAAGAGGCAGTTGTGACTATTCGAGCTTTGGGCCACTGCAAAAGGTGGAACAGGAAAACAAAGTTCTTGGGTTTAGTCGTCAGCTTATTTTTGCAGGCAGGCCTCTTTTTCAGAGGATTATTGCTGGTTATTTTTGTCTTCAAAGAACCGTAGTGGAATCATCTTTTTAATTTTGATCTGCTTATCCAATTGTTCTCCTGCAAGCAGTCTGGGAACTTTTTGGTCACCCTCGATGCTTTAAATTTATCTTCAGTGTTTATATCCATTTTTCTTAGCGGTCTCCCTGCTTTAGCCCATTTTACTATATTTCCCTGAAAATGTTAAAGGTAAGTTATGTGCTGGTTTGCTTTAGCAGGCTGTTCTCTGAGAATTGATTAATCTTTTTAAAATTCGGTGTTGTAATCCTGTAAATTGCTCCCATTTTAATTTTTTCTTTCCTTCCCTTCCAAACTTACAGGGACGGCTTCCAGTAAAATGGATGGCTCCAGAAGCTCTGTTTGACAGAGTTTACACACATCAAAGTGATGTGTAAGTGACTTTATTTGAATGGGGTTTTGGGGGGAAGGAGGGTTGTTTTGGTTTGTATTTGTTAGTTTGGGATACTTTAAATGTATTTTCCTGTTGTCCTTTACCTTTAAGCGTTTTCATTCTGTTTCACATATTAATAGATGGAACAGGACTTGCCCTTAGAAAGTGAGGATTTTATGGTAGACTGCTAACCAGTGCTCTGTTACTAATCTGCCCAGCTTCAAAGCACATGAAAGGTGGAAAATGCTAACCTCCTTCTGTCAGTGCGGAAGTTTCCCCCCTTGAACTTATTTACGGATGTGCAGCTACAAAGGGTCTATCTAATTTGCTTGGCTTTTGACATACTCTGGACTTCCTTCAGGTTTAAAAAAAGAAAGAGAGAGGGGGGAAAAAAAGAAAGAAACAAAAGTTCCTTCAAACTTCATATAAAAAAAATTGTGCTAAGATTAGGTATAATAAAACACAAGCTGGATATACTGGAATAGTTTTCTCTGGTTTTCAGAAGCGTTGCTTCCCAGCAGTCCTTCGCATGCAGTGGGAAATCATTGGACTCTGACACTTTGAGTCTTTGAATGTCTGCACTCAGTCGCTGGCTGATGCAACTGCTCAGGATTTATTCTGCTTTCTATTACGGCTTCCTAGGCCCGTCTACAGGACTCGTGTGCCTTGTGCTTGAAGCAGACGTGTAGGTTTTTAATGCTGTGCAGATGAAGATCTGATGCTTTTTATTTCTCCAAGAGAAGCTGTTAACTGCAAAGGGCTAGATGCTTCCCAGCACAGGTGTAAAAGGTCATGCATGTCAGCGCAGGGTTAAAAAAGGGGGAGGGTGGAGAAAATAAGAGGCATCTCTTTTTTTTTTTTTAACCTCGGTGCACCTCCCAGCTCTTCTCTCCTTAAGAAAGGCATTTACTGAGTCTTTTCCTGCAATCTTTATATTATTTACAAAGGAAACTGTATACACAGGTTAAGGGTGGATCAAACTTGTTTTAAAATAACATCTTGGCAAAATATTTAAGTGAACGTGAAGTAAACTACCTCACTGGTTCAGGACTGAAAGCCAGCCCGAGCTCCTCGGCAGCCAGGGAGCACGAGGGTTTCGGTGCTGGAGCTTGGAGACTCTTGGCCCCTTGGTGGCTTTGAAGATGGCTAAAGATAATATTATTGTAAGTTTGTGCAAACAGTTTGTGAAGATACGCTGCTGCGGAGAAGCTCGGGAGCCAGCGCAAGCTGTGTGCTGCTGCTCACCTGGCAAAGCCGCCTGCCAAAGAGCCCCGGGTTGCCGGCAAGGCATGATGAGGCAGGCTCGGGAGGAGGTGGCAAGCAGGCAGCAAATGATCCTCCTCCTTTTCCTAACAAGAATTAATTAAAAGAAAAATAGAAGAGAAGAGTGATGCAAAATATTTTTGTTTTGAACAGTCTGTTTTTTCCACAACATCCCGCCGCATAATTGCCATCTGTGAGCGTTCTGTAAAAAATTACACGCTGAAGATGCAGTTTGGTGCAGTAGCCCTGGAGACTCGGGTGCTCGGAGCACACCAGAGAAAGGCAGAGAGCGTGTTTGCGGACACGCTCAGCTCAGCCCCTCTTGTGTCTCCTGCCCGTGCGTCGCGTGCACTTCACGGGCTGATGTCGCGCTCAGGGCGGTGGGAGTTGGGCAGCTGCTCATTTCGGCATCTCCTAAGGGATTGGCAATCGTTGTAGATCTCAGCTCATTATCTGCCGCAGACGCATGTCTCTCTTCAGCAGTAGGGCGGATCTACTGATGCAGTTTTCTCTTTGATTTGTAGTTGGTCATTTGGTGTGTTAATGTGGGAGATCTTCACACTGGGAGGATCGCCCTACCCTGGAATCCCAGTGGAGGAACTTTTTAAGCTGCTTAAAGAAGGGCACCGAATGGATAAACCTGCCAACTGCACCAACGAACTGTAAGGACCCTTTATTTGCTGTGCCAGGATTGAAGGGCCCAAACTGTACTGAATTCACATGGTTAATGCTACCCCCGGTGGGATCAAACCCCCCATGGCAGGGGGGTTGGAACTAGATGATCTTTAAGGTCCCTTCCAACCCAAACCATTCTATGATTCTATGATTCTATGAAACCTTTTCAGAATTACTTGACTGTAAAATTGTGGATGTATGTGTGTATTTAGATACGGAAAGAAAAGGTATGAAAAGGTCTTTGGGAAATGTTTGACTTCACATGCCCTGCTGTGAACCCATTGAAAAAAAGCAGAGATCATCTACAAACTCGTCTGTCAGTGTTTTTACACCCGTATTTGTTTTATTTTAATCTCCTGAACACATATACCACTACTGCTGTGTAAGGGACATCAGGCTGGTTTTGTACACAACAAAATGCACCTGGGCACTTCAGCATTCACACAGCATTACTCCTGGTGATGAGGGGAGAGCATTTTCCCTCTCTGGTATTTCAATATAGCACTTACTATTTTTATTCCCCCCCTGCTTTTAATTTATTCCCAAAGACCGTAATCCCTAACATGCAGAAATAGCTAGGCGTGTGTCACTTAATAGCATTATCATTGAAATTCCTGGGACAGAAGGCTACAGAACTGTGTCCACAAAAAGGTGATTTAGGCACTGGGCAAGAGAGATGCAGGAGTGGAAACGCACCTTGGAGGGAGGGGCGTATTGCACGGTTTTGGGAAGGTCAGTGGTCCGTGTGCAGGGCTGTGGGTGATCGCCGCTTTACTTGTGCTGAAGAACACTGACTGTGTCTGAAAAGGTTTACGAGAAGGACGCGTGATTTTAATTAAGCCAAGAAAATGTGTATTTCTTACAGCTATATGATGATGAGAGATTGCTGGCATGCTGTGCCTTCACAGAGACCGACTTTTAAACAGTTGGTAGAGGACTTGGATCGGATTCTCACTCTCACAACTAATGAGGTAGGTAAATTGTTTCCCTCCATAAGCTGCTGATCAGGACGAATGGTTCAGGAGACAGATGGAATTTATTCCGTTATGAAACCCTGCTCGAGTTCTCTCCTTGTTCTGTTTGTCATTGTCCTCTGAGGTTACACGCAGCTAAACTATGCATCCTATGAAACCCTCGGTTTCTTGCCATTATGCCTTGATTTATGTAACTAAACAGAAACACATCTTTAAAGTGGTTTCGTTTATTTCTTGTTGCATCTTTTGATGTTTTTAGCATAGTGGTATCGAGGGACTACACATGGCAGGTTGAGAGGCCATGTTGAAGTATAAACATGAATTTCATGTGAATGAGAGGTGTAGAACGCGTGGTGTTTTTCATTTATCGACTCTGTTTGATTCCCAGCCATGATATCTAGGTCAGAAGAGGAGAAATCGTCAATGGTAGATTTGAGATTACATGTCTGAGAGTGAATTAGGTTCACTGAAATAGCTCTCTGCGGAGGGAACGAGGACCCAGGGGGAACATGCAAACAGCCATCCAATTATCCAAAGGTCCTGCCTAACACTGCTTCAGGTTGGGATGTATGAATGCAAAAAGGTTTTATCTGAAGAGCATTCGTTCAGAGGTCTGAGATATTATTAGTTTTAGCAAGGAGCATGCTGATTAGGGTATTCACACTGGAATTGGTTCTCTTATCACTAAATCACATGCACCTTTGAGGAAGATCTCAAGTGATGGAAATGTTCATTCTTTCGGTAGAAATTTCTTTGGAGAGGAAATGCTTGGTGATCCAGAAATATTTCCACAAATTTCGGAGAAACGGGAGGAGAAAAGAGAACAAAACCCTTACAGAAGAAAGTTGCAACAACTTGTTTTGACCATTTCCAAATAAATTTTTCAGATTTGCTATGATTATAGCACTGGTTTACGAGGGGCAGGAAGGTAAAAAAGAAGACGACTGGGATCACTTTAGATTGGTCCTCCCCATTGCCTTCCAGTTTTTTGGAATTGTCAGAGAAATACAGACTGGATTATTAAGCAGCATTAGGAAAGGCCGTATGCAGTAGCCGTGACAGGAGAACCTGAGTGAAGAGATGCCTTTCTCTTATGATCATCATTTGCCCAGTAGATCCAGTTGAAAAATATTTCGACTCCAGTAGCAGCTGTGAGTTTATCTGGGTTCTGTTTTGAAAGGTTTACTCTAAGCGGCGGCACCTTCAGGGATGGCTCACAGGCGAGGTAGGAATATGCACTCCCTACGGAGTCGGCAACGCAGCTCTGCGTACCGTCACCGTTTTTCCCCTCATCCCGTCCTGATTGCATCTTTTCCTGCCTAATTTATACATGATTTCACAAGACGGGTTGGAGGTGGGCTGGCTGCCACCGCGGAGTGCCGGGTGGCTTGGACTGGATGTGCTTTTGCAAATTCAAGAAGGAGGTTCTGGGCTGCAATTCTGAGCCTGGGAAAGGATATTGCTTTCTTTCTTGTGAGTGTTTAACCATCTTGCCTTCCCAATTCTGTACTGCTCATGGACCTGGAATGATCTCAAAGGTAACCTGAAAAGGCCTTTAGGGTTATGTAAATTACTTTAGACTAGAATCATAGGAAAAACGGCTGGAAAAAGCTCAGGAACACATCCAGTCCATCTGATCGGTCTATGGCAGGATCCACTATACGTTTGTCATTCCTGACAGATGTTTATGTAACTTGTCCTTAAAGTTGCGTTTCCACATCGCCCCTTGACAGTCTATTGCTTTGTTTCGTTAGCCTCACTCCTTGAATGTTTTTTTCCTAACCTCTAATCTTTCAACATAAGATATTGCCTTTGTCCTATTTACCCTGGACATAGAAAGCAAATTATTCCGCTTGTCTCTGCAGCACATTTTATGTTCCTGAAAACTTGGCACGTTCTCACTGAGCGTCTCCTGAGAACTCCAGCGTTGTCCTATTTTCCTCCATAGCTTTGGAGATTTTGCATAACCTGCAGTTTTCCTGAAGTGCAAGTCCTTCATTCGGCAGTGTGACAATATTTCTGCCTATCCTCTCCACAGTGCCACGTTTCCTTTCCCCCAGAATGACACAGTTGACACAGGGTCAGCCTGGTTTACCCAGTAACTCAAGGAATTGTTAGGACAGCCAATAATACCTTCCTTTGCATTTGTGCAAGTCATTATTTCTGCTTAAGTGGTAACGTCTTGTTCTTCTCCATGCAGAATCATCACCTCTTAGTGTTTTTTTGGTGGTGTTTTGGGTTTTTTTTTTTGTTGTTCTTTTTCCCCCAAAAGACCCCATTTCCCAGAGTATCATGTAATGTTTTCCTCAGCCGCATGAGTGGAAGTCACCAAGAGTCAGCGTCATGGCTGTGTTGTTCTGTCAACACCAGGAACCAACCTGATACTGGAAACTTCTTGTGACCCTTCATGCGACTCTGTCCTTTGACTTTGGATAAGGAGGCTGGAACAGGGATAAGGATCCCAATTCCAATGCTGAATTCATAACTGAATTACATCTAGCCATTTGATATGAGGAGCCATGCCTGATATCCCATGGGAAAGTTCTGTTTCTTCAAATACTGGAATACATTCTTCATCTGCCTAAAAAGTGATGGATTATTTCTGGATACATAGGACTAGTTTTTCTTATATATAAATACGTGTCAAGATCATCCTCATGGATCTTTTAAAAGCCTAGGTAGCAAGACAGGCAGTAATCATAGATCCAAACCGCCTCCTCTTGCTGCCTGCTGTATTTGTCAGCATTTTAAAACTTAGGGGGGTGTGTGTCCTCTCTCCCCTTTTAAAGCAGTGACCATTTTTTAACTATGATATGGTAATGATTGAATTTCTGACTTTATTGCTCAGTTTAAGTATTTTACCCCAAACCGAAGCACAGCAGCATAAAATCCTGACGGAGGTGGAAGACTTGTCTCGTCAATGTGATCATAACTTGTGGTTTAGCAAATGAAGAGATTGCATTTAAATGAATGCAGCTGCCTTTAGAAGTTGAAAGAGAAGGAACATTTCAAGGGGAAAAAGAACTTTATTCTCCTGCCAAAACTGTTGTTTCTAGCAAAAGAGCCTTAACCCAAAACTTGGAATCAGCAGATATTATTTCCTTTTTTAATGACTGCTTTGGTCATGGCTACTCTGGGATGGACACACACACACACACACACATATGGTGTAAAAAACCCAAATTCTAGTGAATTTAATTTTGTTTTCCTTTTGGTTCTTTTTTGCATGTATGCCACTGCATGTTTAAACACAAATTTAATATCACAGAATATAAACCAGATATTCAAACTGACCAAAATAATATAAAGTTGGAAGTATCTTTCCCTCTCCAAATCATTACCATGTGCTAAAGAAAAATGGTTCTATTTAGGATGAAATTTCATATTTATCATTGTGAGTGAAAAGTCTTCTTTTGATGTGGTTGGCATGTTTATTTCCACTGACGCGGCTAATGCTGGTGATGTTGGACTTCAGAAAAGTACCGTGTTACTGGTTTGTTTTTTCTTTCTCTACTCAAGCTCCTCGTTTCATGACATACTTAAGCGACAGGCAGTTTTGAATGACAGACACGAGTGTAATTTTCACGAGTGTAATATAAAGAAAACTTTTTTACCCATTATTCAGTCAAGCCAAATCAGAGCAGTGCTAACGTGTGGCAGGATGGTGGTAACGCGTCAGTTTTACTCGTTATCTAAAAATGCAATTTATTTCTTTTGTCATAGGAGTATCTGGACCTCAGCGGGCCTCTCGAACAGTATTCACCTAGTTACCCTGACACGAGGAGTTCGTGTTCTTCAGGTGATGACTCTGTTTTTTCTCCCGATCCAATGCCTTATGAACCTTGTCTTCCCAAGTACCAACACATGAATGGAAGTGTGAAAACATGAAAAGAAATCATACAGAGGAATAAAGAGACAAGAACACCAAGCTACCTACCGTATGCAAAACGAAACCTTTTCTCCAGGACCTTAATGTTTCTGCTTGTACATATGAAATATGGGAGGGGAAAAAAAATAAAGAAAACTTGGAGGAAAGCAGTCAGAACCTACGTAAAGAATCTCATAATTTGCAACTTTTAAATATTCCCAACAAAGAAGAATGTTTAGGAGCTGTGTCTAGATTCCCATCGCTATCAATTTCTGGCTTCCTGTAAGCTGCAACAGACTTTGTTTGTACAATGGACCAGTTGGACTTGAGGCAAACTCTGGGTCTGCCTTTCTTGTTTATTTTGTAATATTTGGAGAAAATATATGTTGGCACACCCTTACAGAGCACAAATGCAGTATATAGGTGCTGGATGTATGTAAATATATTCAAAATAT